TATAATATAGAAGAAAAAACAACTCAGTTTTTTTATGCTTTTTGTAAAAAAAAAAAAAATTAAACAAACTTCCCCGCTTTACACAGGTTTAAATTATTTTTAAGTTTAATCTAACTTCTGTATTTTGGTAAAGTGCAACAAAATTTTAATGAACTAGTTTAATTTAGCTTAGTTACTGTAAGATCAATAGTACCCAGTCTTCATAAAAAAGAACTGCTTTATCACACAGACTCTCTGAAGCACACAGTGTGTTTCTAAAAATGTGTCAATGCTTTTTTTTTTTTTTTTTGACCCATATTAAACTCAATTAAATGTCTATCAGACCTACATAAAGGATTGCATTAGAAATCCCCTTTTGAATAAAAAAAAAAAAAATTAAACAAACTTCCCCGCTTTACACAGGTTTAAATTATTTTTAAGTTTAATCTAACTTCTGTATTTTGGTAAAGTGCAACAAAATTTTAATGAACTAGTTTAATTTAGCTTAGTTGCTGTAAGATCACTAGTACCCAGTCTTCATAAAAAAGAACTGCTTTATCACACAGACTCTCTGAAGCACATAGTGTTTTTCTAAAAATGTGTCAATGCTTTTTTTTTTTTTTTTGCAGCCATATCAAACTCAATTAAATGTCTATCAGACCTACATAAAGGATTGCATTAGAAATCCCCTTTTGAATAAAAAAAAAAAAAAACCTTGTATTATATCCATTTGATTACAACACAGCATTAATAACCTCTTTAGCCAACCATCTCAGCTTGGTTTTAGACAAACCCAGGAAAACAGAGGTTATTTTGATAATGATAAAACTTTAAAATGTGTTTCTAATTAAATGTCATAATTTTTAGACAATGTTTAGCAATCTTGAATTTATGGAAAAAGACATTTCCAGGCAGTTGTAGATTTTCACTCATTGATCTCCAAAAGTCTACTAAATTTATATAAGAAAATACAGCCTGTCTTATACAAAATGACTTGATTGACAATACTTAATGTCCAAAGCAAACCTTTGTCCATCTGAATATAGATTGTGGTGGAAACTTACTTTTTCTTCATGATCCAAAAAGCATCACTCACTGAGAGCGGTACCATCATGGTTTTGAGCCCAGCTAATTAAAATGTCTGAGAAAAATGACCATGCATTTTACTGTAGTGAATGAAGATGCTTAAATCGAATGTGTAAACTACCGTTTAGTTATTAACCTAACAAAAAGACAAAGGCATTAACCAGAGCATCCTTAGTCAATAAACAGCAGAGTTGTTCAGCTTTGAAAACTATTGTAAAGACAGGACCATGACTATTGACTAGGTAACCAAAGAGTTTCTTCTAAACACTGTAAAGCTCTCTTTACGTCTGTTGTTGCCTTTATCTTGAACAGTGATAACACAACTTATTTCTGTTTTGAATACTGAGTCAAAAATAATTTTTTCCAGCCACAGTGTAGCAATTTATTTTGCCAAAGCGGTAGCCTGTAATGAGGTCTTTCTACACTGAAATGTGGCGTCTATGTAGAAACTTGTCGTTTTAAGCACATCTCACTAAATGTTTGTTCTTCATCTCAGAGCTAAGCTTGTATGTGCATTCTGCATGGTTGAGTTGTGTATATACAGCCATTGATTATTTTGTACTCAGTCAGTTGTTGGCAGTCACATGCGTGTGGTTTTTGATCACAGAGACCATTGTTTTCGTTATCCTTGGCCTTTAAACACAGTTGCCTGGTTAATCTACTGTTTTCACATTTAGGAGCCAAACTGGAGTGTTAACTTTGTTCCAGAGTGGTAGTGGTTAAATGTAAATTTTGTTTTTATTATCCTGTTATTTTTAAAGAAAGGATTACTGTATTCATTTCTATTCTTTAGTACACTGATTAACCATTACTCAGACTGGGATTACATAACTAGTTTTTAATATTT